TGGACGCTGCGTACGCCCAGCGTCAACCACGACCCCGTGCTGGCGTCATCATCCAGCGCTGTTGCGCCGACGAGCCAGCAGCCCGACCATCAACCACCGACCTTCTTGCGTGCCTCGAGTCGGCGTCCGTCGCGTGAACTCTGAACTCTCGGTTCTTTATTGTCTCGTAGCAACGTCGACATGTATCCATCTTCCAATCAACAGTTTTCCCGCCAGTTTTGGTCGTTTGGAACCCCACCCTCTACAACCCTAGTTTTTGTTCCGCCGCCTCGCGCGCCAGGGTCGTGACCACCAGAGTTTCGGCTACCTCGGTAAAGAGACTCTTCAGTCTTTCCTGAGACGTAGTACGCCAGCAGGGACTCGGACACAATGTACTGGCATGGGTATCATCATCATAATCAACATTCTACAGGGTGTTTGACGCATACAAAGAGAGTCGTCTACTATCGTGTCGAAAAAAAAAAGTTACCGCGGCGCGGCGACGGGGCTGCCCACCGGGCTCGGCTCGGTGCTCATCGAATCGATGCGCGCGGTCGCGTACTCGTACCGGATCTGCGCCAACGTTTGTTGAAACTTGAGCACGTCTTGCGCAAAGATGCGCTGGTGGTACACGTGCGTCTTGTGTTCAAATTGCCGAAACTGCACGACCGGGTCATTCGAGAGCACATTTGTCGACGGGTCCTGGTCGAACGGGAGGTACTGGTCCTTCATGCGGAGGCCGTTGGCGACCGAGACTTGCTTGATGATGACGCGGTCGTGCCCGAGGCGCTCGGCGATCGTCCAGATTGGTCCAGTTGCGCTGGATGCGGTCGAGCGGGTACTTTTCATCGTCCGTGATGCTGTGGGTGAAGACCACGTACCGGTTCTCGTCAAAGAAACTGGCGCGCGAGGATGTTTTGAAAGTACGCGTTCTGCTGCGTCGCCCCGTACGGCGACTTCATGCGGAAGTACATAATGTTGGGGTCTGGCATGTCGAGGAGCCCGTCCGGCGTTTGAAAGTAGAGCCGTTGGAGCGTCTGCGTGACCTCGTCCAAGGTCGCATACTCGATGCGCTGGCGGGCCTTGATGAGGTGGTACGACGGATCGTTCTCGAGCGGGAAGACGTGGACTTCGCTCACCGGTGCCATGGACGCCGGGAGCCCGCAGTGCTGGATCATCGCGTCAATGTTGTGGTACAGCTGCTTGGTGATCCAGTCAAAGCCGAGCCGCCGCGAGCTCTCGTGGGCCATGAGCGACGAGTTGCGCCACGACTGCTTGAACGGGTCGGAAAACGTGGGCACGGCCATGGATTTGGCGACCCACGAGTTCATTATGCATGCGATTTCCTTGTACTTGCGCAGCTTGCTGTGCAGCGACGACTGCTTCTCGGAGC